GGGTTTTTTTTTTTTTTTTTTTTTTTTTTTTTTTTTTTTTTTTTTTTTTATGGCTGATATTCTTCGCTAGAAGTCAAGGAGTTCCGAGTAAAACATTCAAAACTGAATAATCATAAATTCTAAGAACCACCTATAACAGTTCTGAGAACAATCTGTGGCCTTAGAAAGATACATCATCATACTTATGTAGAATTTTAAATTACTAGTATTATACCTGTACAGTAACAATGTTTTGAAATTTTCATGGCATTACAACATTGCAATATTAACATTTATTTTTTTATGTATGTTACATATACCTAAAAACTATACTATCACATTTTCTACACCTAAAGCCAGATCTAAAACTCCATTGGGCAACAGTCTCTAGTTATTTATGAATGTCTTTTTGTTATCTAAAAGTGGATTTCAGTAAAGAAGTGATGGCTTAGAGACCTTATCTATTCTTTCATTTACTATTTCTGCTGCATCAGACTACTTTCACAACTCATCAATGCTGCTTGTTATAACAGATAACTAATTGTGACTGTACGTCTTACCCACACCTATTACTACCACTAGTATTGAGTAAAAGATACACAGTAGAACCTAACAATCACTACTGTGGATCTAACTTGGCTGATAATCACATGACGCTGCTTTTTAGTTCTCTGAAGGTTATAGGTGCTTTTGTGAGTCATGCGATTATTTTACAAAAGTAGTTTTAGTCAAGTGCTGTGTAAGTTATACAACTTACAAGTCATAGGCTTACAATTTAGTACAAAGCTTCGTCTCTCACTATCAATGAGACAGCAAAACGTTTAAATAATTAGTTTGTTACACATAATAAATCAGCGTTAGAAAACCCGAAAATTAAGCTGAATCTAGGCTACATAAATAAAAAGGACTAAAACTAAAAGAAAAAAACAACTAGAAGACCGATTCCAAATTAGTCAAATTTTGGCTAAACTTCCGTAAGCTTAATTAAGTTAAAACTAATGTAAAAATCACAACCAGTGTATCACATCATATTTACTGAATTACTCGGGCAATAGGAGGAGCGTTACTCTTTGAAGTTTAAGATTCACCCTATTGTAATGTGGGTAATATTAAACTAGAATAAAAATCATTAAAATAACAAAAACATATTTCACAATATATATATATACACACACACCATTTGAATTATTTCATTGGAATTAGTAATACCAATAGTTATATAGAGGACTATGGGAAACCCGTTTCTTGTTTTGATAATTAATATGAGTACAAGTTAATACAACACTGCCTAAAATGAAAAGTCTCATGAAAAACAAAACAAAAACGGATTTTCACCATATTTACATTTATCACCTATGTATGTGTTAAGAAACACTGGACGTAATGTTTACTTTGGTTTAAATTATGTTTATCAACTATATAAGCTATATTATAATGCTTCTACAGTAGCCACTATCAATAGCAATTTAGTATCACGAGTATCACATACGCAATCAAATAAAATTGTATAACCACAATAAAGCCTAAAACATGTTAAGGTTTAATTTAAACTTCAGCAAAAAATAAGTTGTTTTTCTATCGTTATTACACTTGCAATTGTACCTTTTCGTGGTTCTCCACTAAATAGGGATAAGAACTCAGTTTTAATACAAGCAAACCTCGAACAAGCTCCCATGTTTTCTTGCTTTTATATGCGGCTTGCGTATTTTCAAAGGTAAGGTCTAAAGGATCTCTTTCTGGCGGGGTTTCTTCATTGCTTTTCCGAGCTGTATCTACAGTTGCGTCTGGAGAAACAACAGTCGTTGGCGATGACTTTAATCTCACCGAACTGTGATAACTGATGAAAGGACTCTTAACATTGGTAGTACCTAAAATATATCGGATTCCTATCTTAGTGGACTTTGAAACTGCCCTGACAACCCCAACTATCGCCATGCCACACACGACTACAGTAAGACGCCAACTACGGGGCCACATAACTACAGCTAGAAATGATTACGTAAAATCCTACTGTAATCAAAGAAGGTGTGGCATTTATGACGAATTGTGGAAAGCGAATATTCCGTGTTAGGATTTGATTGGTTTCTTTAGACACACCCACAAGCTTTGCAGAATGTTATGTTTACGCTATCGCGCACGTGGAAATTAGGCCAGTAGCTAAGGAATAGTTGTTTTTATTTGAAAATAATAAATAAAAATGTATAATAATTTATGTTCAGTAAATATTTCAAAGTACATTTTAAAGTTGAGACATATAACTCAAACCTACCATTGGTAGGCTTTTTTTTTTAAAGCAATGCAAGTTAGTACCTTATCAGTATAATTTCTTTTAGGGCACACTGTGCTACTACTGCATAAGAGTGAAAAACAAAAATTCCGACGTTTAATACTCTTAATAAGTTTATCAGTACTTAACATTCACTGTAATATTAATGCTGTTGCAAGGTATGCTCTAAATAATTTAGTGATGATGTGTAAGAGCTAGAAATTTCTGATCTTTAAAATCTTTAAAAAAGTGACGTTTAAAATTTCCTGAGATTTGGGGTGATTTTACAAATACCAGAGTTAGAGAGTTAATTAGTTAGTGAGTCACCCAGTTAGGCAGTTAGTTAGTAAGTTCTGAACGTTAGACAGCCTGTTTTGAATTTGGTGTAGATGTTTGTGTGTGTGTTTTCTTATAGCATTCACATCGGGCTATCTGCTGCGTCCACCGAGGGAACTGAACCCCTGCATTGTAAATCCGAAAACTTACCGCTAACCCACCGGGGGACTTGGTATAGATATTGGAGTAAATTTATCAAAAAATGTTTGAATCATGACATAGCTTGTATAACTTTTACATTATAGTTGAAGTAATAAAATTATCCTTTTTTCGTTAAGGGGACTGGAATTTACATTATTTCTACTAAATAATCAAAAAGTATCCACCAACGATTGAAACCGCTACATCTGTGATATTTTATAGTGCACGGATTTTCCCCAGAATAGTCAGTTAAGGCCTGCTAACTGGAGGTTCAGAAAATATTGAGTTACAAAGTGTGTGCTGTGTTTTCCTTCGAACTCCAAGCAAGTTCGTTGTGAAAAAAAGAGAGAGATAGATGGCACACAGATACAGATATCGCAACCATTATTACAACAAACACAACACAAAACACGAGGGCAAAAACTTATTGTGGCAAGAAAATAGTGAAGAAACCTTAAATAGTTTCCCTTATAGGTTCACTGGGCTGTACCTTGTAAACTACTCTAAAAGTAAGGTCAAATATAAGAAGTAAAATGTAAACGAACCTCTAAATTTAGGTTAAAATCAAAGTATTGTCGCTTTAAACAACGCTAAAGTTAAATCATGTTTAACAAAAGCCACTGATTACTAGGTCTACAAAAGTTAAAGATAAAGATAACTAAGTTATAACATGCAAGTATAAGATAGGCTATCTTTCTCTCTGCATCTGCTCAAGAATTTTTTTTCATCAAATACCTGTGAATTTGAAATACTGAATACAAAATCCAATTCGTCTATGTCTGCTCCTACTAATGCTTTACCATCTAGGATTGTAAGACGTCTCTAGACAACTACAGTTATATCATTTCCTCGTCAAATTATAGACGTTGGTAGGCCTGTTCAAAATTATTTTCCAATCAAGAAGTCAACATATTATGATATAAAGATTCCACGAGAAAAATATCAGGCTCATTTCAAAGTAATTTCCAAAATGAATGGATGGAACAGTGGACAACAGTGGCTATTAACTTATTTCCCATATAAAAAGACCAGTCTTAAAAACACTTAAACTATATTTCAGCTTAGAGATGTAACAGCTATTAAAAACTGGTGGCTGTCGTATCAAAGGGGTTTGAAGTGACACACCAGAAGAATTTTTTCGAAGAGAAGCAGAGTAAAGAGGAAAGATGAGACCTTAGCTGAACTTGTAGAAGATGAGGAAAAGGCTAGTCAAGTTATCTTATCTGGATGCTCCACGCGAAATTATGGATTTATGGCATGTGACCTATTCATAGATGCTATATGGCTGAGGATATGTACATTGCTAAAGCAAACTAGGTGTAGATCTTTAAAATGTCTGGTTGCATCTCATCTGGTATGTTGGCCACTTCCTTGCCAACTGCATCCTTGAGGTCCGTAACTGTGGGAGGCTTTCCATGGTACACGCATGACTCCGAGTACCCCAATAATTAAAAATCGGGAGGGGGGTTGTTACAGTGAATGAGGTGGCAATTCACAATGAAAGTGACGTAAAATGATTCTCTCTTGTATGTCATCCGACAGGACATGTTTCATCTGATTAACAATACGCAGAAGCACTATCCTGCCTGAAAACTGTAGTTTTTTTCTTCTTTTTCTCATATTTTGTTGCTGCACCACGGGAATCACATTGGCTGTCGGCATTGCATGGCACCATGTGTTATTGACTATGCAGATTTACTGTCTATGTGTTGATGATGGTTTTTCAAAAAGTATAGTCCAATAAAAAATTTAGCTGTGAAACTATACCACAATGTCACCTTAACATCTAGGAGTTGCATAGGAAATGTTATAAGTGAATTAGTTTCTAACCAAACAATGAAGTTGCACATACTGACACTTCCAGAAAGGGTGAAGTGTGATTTATTAGTGGGTAAGATGTTAGTAGGCCATTGGTCATCAATTTCCAGTTTTGTCAAGAACTGCAATGCAAAACAAACACATCAGATTAAATTTGTCTCCTCCAGTGCTTGAAAACGATGCCGCTTACATGGAAATATTTGAAAAAGTTGTCTGAAGAGACTTACAAAAGTTGAAATTGTCAAATACAGAAACTGTGTGACATAAAACAATGAAATTGTACTGACTTATTCTGCTACAGCGTGGTTTCAATAGGTGTTGGTAGTCTGCCTGTACATGGTTTATTGCAAGTACAGTCTGTCCCCTCAAATGTTTTATAGTTTCTCAAAGCTGTGATATAGACAATTATATCATACCATGAGAATCATGGTTGAGAAATAATAATTAGTTGAAATCTATAACACAACACATGTATTAAAGTTACAAGATTCAAATAATCGCTATTTTGTTCAAACCTAAATGAGTGGCATATTATACCCGAAAAAACCACAGAAAATCCACAAACACCAATGCTTTCCTTGGAAGCATGCTCAAAATCAACCTAAAATAAGAAGCTACAAGTTCAAAAATGTTCATGGAATAAAATCAAGTAAACAAAGCATTTTATTAAAAGTTTAAACCAATATAACTTCACTTTGAACAGGAACATAACTTTGAACCAGTTTTGTTTGCAGAGATTTGTCAAATTCTTGGAATCTAAAAGATCAGTACCACAGTTCTTCATTCATCTTGTGATGGAATAATCGAGAGATACAACCATACACTTTGAAATCAGTTAGACATCTATGAAGATGAACATAAAAACATAAGATCAGTATATTACACTGCTAATCATGAGTTATGAACAGTAATATTTTGCTAGAAACAGAACACTATAGGAACGAGACTACTTGCAGTGCCATCTTCCATCAGTTTCCTATCCGTACTTTTAGCCCAAATTTTGAGTGTTTTCCTTTCTATTTGCTACGTAATAATGGTATGAATTATATATTTATCAATTTTGATCACAGATAAGTCAGAGGAAATTTACAACCTTAGAAGTATCTACTTCTCAGCTCTATCGTCCAGCGTGTTTGTTTTTGCTGATTCCCTATAGTACTGACTTGTCACTTCCATAATCCAAAAATAAAATCCAGTTCTAGGTAGCCTCACTATTTTCAGTATTGTAGGAAAAACAGTGAATGGACCAGCTGTGGCTAAGTGGCCACTTAGCAAGTCGGACTAAAGATCGAAGGGTATAGTGTTTGAGCTGTGGGTGGAATATTGGCTAAGTGGCCACTTAACAAGTCGGACTAAAGATCGAAGGGTATAGTGTTTGAGCTGTGGGTGGAATATTGGCTAAGTGGCCACTTAACAGGTCGGACTAAAGATCGAAGGGT